AAATAAAATAAAATAATGTCGAATCTTGTCAATTCTGCCGATTATCACTCGAATCGTCAATCCACCTATCCAATACAGTTTTTGGGGTGGCTGATCCGGGTCACCGATCCGCTTTTTTAAACCTTAGTTGCAGCAATTAAGGTTGTATCATAACTCATAAGTGATGTGCCTCATCGTCGATTGGCCATGGATGGCCTGGATTGAGCCATCCCGTTTCGAATCTTTGATTCAGACTCCTAGGGCTGCAAAATAAGTCCTTTTCTAACTAGGACCGGATTCAACAAAGAACGCTAATTCTAACAAAATCACCCCCTAAATGTTATAAATTCTAGTCGTGCAAGCCCTAGATTAGAGGGGCAATTGGGTCGGGTCGAGCTGCCGGCTGAACTAGGTCCGGGTCCATATCCATGTTTTGGACTCAGTGGGTTTGGGTTTGGGTCTTGGTCTTGTTTGGACCCAATTAGCCCTGGTCCAGTCAAGGTCGAGGGTAGGCCCAACCTAACCCAGCCCAACCCTATATAAAGTATACATTGTATAATAAAAAAGGTTATTTTATTTAATTTCTAGACTCGGATCCGACTTGGGTCATGGTTCAAATGACTTCCACTCGACCTGGATACAAGTTGGGTCCAGGTCCATGTACAACCTTGTTGGGTAGGGTTCGGGTTGACCTGGCCCCCATTGGACCTATAGGGTTCGGGTTGACCCGCTCCCGACCCAACCTGTTGCCACCCCTACTAGATCCCTAACCTTGAAACCTCATATTTCTAGTGAACCCTAATCCTACTCTTCCAAGACTTTAAAACGATCCAAAAAACTCGTAGCCCACGCACTATGGTGTCCGCATGCAAGTCTCAATTTAAAAGACTATTTAATTTTTCAAAATCCGTTAAGAACTCCGAATTTTTTAAAAGATCTTCAAAAAATCGTCTTTTTTTAATGGGATCGATATAAATCCGTATTTTATTTCTTCAAAAAAAAAACTTTTCAAAAAACTTCTTCCCTATAGTTTATTTCATCATTAGCTTAATATTATTGAATTTCAATTTAAAGATAAGCACATTAATAGTGGAAGTAAATTAAGAATCTTGGTTTAACAAAAAATTCAATCAAAATTTCAATAATAAGTTCTCTTAAGAAAAGTGTATGAAAAATACAAGCAATATGTTCCCCAAAAACCGAGATATTAAAATAATTGTCTATCTCACAGGTAGAGTTAAAAGAACAGTAACTCAATGAAAAATATTTTTTTTTCTCTGAAAACCTGTAACATCTTTTTAAAGACAAAGAGAGAGATTCAGTGATACTAAACATTTAAGTGAATTCAATGTGAGATTTGAATTTTCTTAAGCGTTTTGTTGTTTTCTTTATGCATAGAGAAGTTTAATTAATTTCATATATATATTTTTTTTATTTTATTAGTGTATATAATATAGCATTTTGAAAAACTAATATTTTACATATATTTGGATGTTTGTGTTTTACTTTAGTTAACTACAATCCTATACTCAAGGTCTTTTTTAGTTTTTTTTCATGAACAATAATCATATACCTTGATTTACAGTTCTTGTTATTTACTAATGTAGTTTTATGTTTTTAGCATTGCCATTGTTGTTGCTTCATTTTATGCCCCCAATAAATATATTATATATTTTGTATTGTGACAACAAAGTTAGTGAATTCATTGAGAATTTTGACAAAAAAATATCCATTATTACTTTTATGTCACTAAGTGAAGCCATAAATTTATTGTTCAATAGTTTTAACGTATCTATACAATAACTGCAAATCATAATCCTATATTGTATCATTTTTACATATCCGATTTTTTCCCTCCGTTTTTTTGAGTCAAATCCGAAATATTCATGATTCTATAACTTACCTTACTATTGGGCAACTTGAATTGTTTATCCGATTTTTTTTTTCTGAATTTTTAAAATAAAACTGATTTATTACCAATGTTTTAATTTGCCGAGATATTATTATTCTCTATAGTGATGGTCTCCTCACACCAAATTTGTCTTACTCAAGCCTCAACTCCGTGTACCGGGCATATGGGCCTGAATTCTAACCAAGAAGCCCATTTTCTCTCCAATTTATCTTTTATTGCTTCGTCTATCTATTTAAATTAGTTCTTCTCTATTTGTATTTCTAAAGCATTTTCAGGATCTTCCTCTATTTTCCAAAGCTTTTCAAAGTTCCTTCTTGGTTCTTGGCGACTGATGTACTCCAGTGAGAGCATTGTACAATTGGTCCCTTTGAACAGGTCTTTTATCCGAGGGAGTAAGCACACAAAATGCTCCCATGAGAGTACACTGCAGCTGCTCTTTTCTAAAAAAAAGATGGTTCCCACATTGGGTATGGGAACCCATTTTATTTTATTTTATTTTATTTTTTGACAATATTCAAAACTTTTATTGGTATATTACAATCATCCAATCATAATAATAGAAACCCATTTTATTGCCCCTAAATGACATTGATTTCCCCAATTCCTTGTGGTTTTTATTTTATTTTATTTGTGTTTCCTTGTCAATCAATTGCTTTCCATGTTTTTCTTAGTCAACATGGCTAACATGCCATTGTTGGATTTCATATTCTTTGAGTGATAAGTTAGTCTCGTGTATTGTATTATTTTTATTTATTAATTTAAGTTAGTCTCTTTTATTCTTTTTATTTAATAATTAATGCATATTTTTCGTTATCTGTTTCTCTAAAATATTTATTTAAAACTTAGTAGCCCTCCATATCATATGGTAACGCGATTTGTGATCACCATTACGTAATAGCCTCTGATTGTTTACAGTATTACAAGATCGCCCTCCCCTATAAACTAATCTTGGTTAGATAGCAAACTATCTTGTACGTTTGTTTCGTGGAAAAATTTTCTCTGCGAAAGAGATCTCCTAGGGGACCATCACGACGGATTATGCGAAAGCAGATTCTCAAATAGCATCACGTCAAGATAAAAATGGGGAAAACGGTTTCATATCTGTGTGATGTGATCATATGAGATGAATTATCCTTAGGCAGACATTACAATTGGGAAATCACTCTTTTGGAGAAAGATTATTGTCGGACCAAACGTAGCATAAAGCGAACACTCTTTCCCTCCCCTCCTTTTAGAAAAAGGTTCTTTTCCCCTTTTTCTTCGGCTCTTCTTCTTCTTCTTTTTTTTTTTTTTTGTTAGATTAGTGGGTCGTTGTCTTCTTCGGTCTCTTCTTCTTCTTCTTCTTCTTTCTTTTCTTTTTTTTTTTTTTTTTTTTTTTTTTAGTAGTATTAGGTGGTTCGTTGTACTTTAAATTTAAAAATAAAGTTAAAATTTATATAGTAGTCAAGGTTCTAAACAATTAAATTAGAATCCATCTCAAAAAATTCACTAAAAGAGTTTGTTTTGATGCCCAAATATCTTTAAATTGATCATGTCGACATCAAGATGCATGGACACGAGAAAAAAAATGGACTTCAAGTTTTGGAAATAGTGCATATTGTAACGTATTTTTTGGACCGCCAATGTTTAAGAGTTTCAATTTTCATAGATCTACTCTATGTACACTATTTTTTAAGCTTTAAATTTTATAATTAAAGATGACAATATATTTTAAGGCTATCACAAAGATTTCCAGTATTGAAATCACATTTATCGATACTATTTAAAGGTATGTTTTACTTCGATTGTTTAGAGCCTCGGCTCTATACAACGGCACCCTCCTTTATATACTCTCTTTAAATGGGCCCTAGAGTTGTGGGATTAGGCAAGTGATGTTTTTTATTTGAGTGAGGAGCATGGAAATATTTAGATCTCATTGAGGAAGTTATGCAAAATCTAAATTGAAATGGGAAGGCAATATCTGCTCATAAATATATAGGAAATAGAGAGAGATTGATTGTTCACTCCAATCACTTAGAGAGAGGGGTGTGGTTTCTGTAAGGTTGCAACCTTAAACGATCCAAATACGATGCACCTCCAAATTTTATCACAACATGTAATTTTGATGTACAAAATTATTAAGATTATCTCAAAATATATTTTCAAATCTTACTATAAAATTTTAAAATCCAAAAATGGTTAAAATTAAGCAGAACTATAAACATATAAAAATATTGAAAATGGACAGTCTAGATAATGTGTTGCAAGATGCACTATTTATGTGACGTAAAATCTTTTTTTTTCAAATTCATATATCTTGATAACGAGATGATTAATTAAAAGGTTTTTCAACATTAAAATAATCTTTTCTGATAAATTTTCTACATTTGAAGTTTGCAACCTTATATAAACTTTTTCCCAAAGAAAATGCTCGTTAGATGTTATAGAGAGAGAATAAAAAAAAGGGGAGGGAGAGATATTTTGAGAACTCCAATGCCCAACGAGTCAAAAAAAAAAAAGAAGACTTGCGTATATTGTCGATGTTTCTACTTGCGTATATTTGGATCCTATGGGTCGGGTTCGGATCCAAAACCTAGACCCAAATACTATTCGGGTTCGGGTTCAGGTCCAGGTTCGGGTTTGGTTGAACTCGACCCGTGAAACTTAAACTATTGGAGATAAAATATTTCAAGTCCTATTTATTTGAGTGTATTAAGGATTATATACAATAAGAATTCATAATCATCTTTAGTTATTAAATGACAAATAAGGGAGCTTAAAATCTAACGGCGAGTTGTGATCCCTTTGCCAAAAGTTTGGGTGTACGATAGCAAAAAAAAAAAGCTTATAGTGAAGGTGGCAATGGACCCAACTAGACCTAAGACCCGATGATACGAGTATTAGTCCAACGTTTAAACCCGACAGGTTAGGTTTGAGTCCAAAACCTGCACCCGAATATATTCGGGTCTGGGTCCAGGTCCGGGTCCGGGTCCCGCCGGACCGTCCCATATACAACCCGTTACCACCCCTACTACAAAGGAGGAGTGGCAGTTTGGTAATACTATATGAAATTTCGCCTGAATATATGAAAACCTACTTTCTAGTACTCTCCCCCGCTGTATTAAAAAGACCGCCCAAAAGTAACAAACATCAAATTGCAGAAAGAAAAAACAGAGAGAAAAGTGGGGAGAGAGAGAAAGTCACATGGTGAGTTTTTCAAAGGCTCTATTAATTCGCTTTCTCTCTCGTCACCAGGCCCTCTTTCTTTCTCATCTCTCTTAAATCATGTCAATGCGAAGGCGAACCTTACTCAAAGTCATCGTTCTTGGAGATAGCGGGTTTGTTTTCTTCCTCTTTTTTCCCTTTCATGTTGATCGCTTTCTTTTCGTTGTTTTCTTCAGCATTTTTAGGGTTTCCTAGTCTTCTGGCTTGTTTTTTTTTATTTTTTAATGGAATTCTTGGGTTTAGGGTCTGAGACTTTTATTTTCTCCAACGTTTTTTAAGATTTAACTGTTCTTAGCTGAGCTTTGTGTCTCACTTGCCTTTGTTTTTAGGGTTGGGAAGACTTCATTGATGAACCAGTATCCTTATGAATTTTGTAAGTTTTTTCTTAAGTTATTGTTGAACTAATGTTATTGTAATGATCTGATGTGTTTTTGGTGCTATTTTTCATGTCATTTGATTATTATTTTTTTTGTAAAAGATATTTTTTTGTTTTTGTTGGATTTTATTCTATTAGTTCTTGAATGATGGAAATCGATGTCTCTGTATTCATACATTTAAGTGGAATTACAATTGTTACACTGTAGATGATCTGAAATTATCTTTCCTGCAATTTGAAGTAGGTTTTTTTGTTTATTTATTTGATTTATTTCTATTTGTTCTAAAATGAGGAAAACTACTTAAAGTTAGATTCAGACATTTTGGTGGAATTATGATTGATTATCATGTGTGTAATCCGGAAGCACATGTATTTATTAGTTTATATAGTCGTTTTCCCTTAAGTGTTAGTGGATCATTACTTCTTAATATTTGCAGTTATCTAATGTATAATGTATTTGTATTGTAAACTTTTGTTTTAATCAGTTGAAATTACGAATATGATCTTTTCTATTTCTGGATTGAATTTTAGTGGTGCTTTGTTTCTTTTTGGTTTATAGATGAGCAATTTAAGAATTTTAAGCATATATTTATGTTTCAAACGGAATGGCTATTTTTAATGATTATTTTTTAATTAGTTCTTTATGAGTCTTTTATTGATTAATCAATATTTCATGTGCCTGTCTTTTTATTTTTATATTTATTGGTTTACTGCTTGCTGCTTTATTTCTTGTATTAGTAACTTATTGTTAATGCTACAAAAAAATTCCTTTTTTTTTCCTTCTCTTTACTTTTTTGAGTATTACATTTTGTTGTTCTCCTTGCTACATAAAAAGGGTTGATTCCCCTGTTAAATGTGCATATTATTGCCAATGATATGTCATCATATGTATGAATCTTTTTCTTTAAGCTCCATTTGTTTCATATCTTGTCTATGGTTAGAAGTTGTGTTATCTATGGTTAGAAGTTGTGTTATGTGGCACAAAAGGTGAAGTACTTTTGAAATGATCTATCAATCACTACTGATTTTAATTTGTTCTTTTTAAATCTCATCTCGTTTTTCTCTTAAATCTTTATTTCATTATTTTTGTTAGAATTGTACTGAATACTGCAAATTTCAATAATATTTTATTTAAAATAGTTTTTGGGTTTTTTGCAGTGGTTTTACACTGGTAGTGTTATTAGCGGCTCATGCTTCAGTTATTTCTATCACTTTGTGCTAGATTTTCATTATTTTCTCAATCTACTGACATGTTGGCATGAGGAAGAGTTAAAATTTTCATTACGGGTGGATAGTCTTCAGATATGCTATATATGAAGTTGAAGAGAGTTGCTAGAATGTCTGTTTTTTCCCCCCAAGCGAAAGAGAGTCACTAGAATTGTTTGAATGCTCTTATAGTTGAGGCTTTTGAGAAGGTATTGTCTTGTGTAAGTATTGCCATCAGTTGATTGATTTGCCTAGATTTTCATCATTCGAGGTCAGTAGTTAGGTATATTTGGTCCATTTTTTCTTGTCATGCTTTGGGGTTTCATTTGATTGCTGCTGACTTGATTTAGTACATTACGGACATCTGCTTTTGTTTTGAGCAGAACTTTTAGGTTCAGTATTGGGCAGCCTTTTAGGGGACAGTATTGGGCAGACTTTTGAGAATCATTCTAATCTAGATATGGAAAGAAAATCAGTTAAATGTGACATTCATTGCACTGTTCGGGCAATTGGAAGATGCTTCCCTAGTTTTAATCCCTCTGTTATGATGCCTGGATAACTCTATGAACATTGCTACAACCTCAATTTTTTTTTTTTCTATTTAATTTCAGGGTCAAGGGTCCTATTATAGCAACCATTTTGAGATATACATCCACTTGAGCAGAAATAGCTGCATTTATTGGACTTTATGTTGGCTAGGCATTATTCTGAATTTTATGATATTACTTGTTTGTCATTTGAACATCTTGAGACTTGAATGGAGGTGTATATTACATTAAGCTGGATCTACTTGTGTGACACATCATTAGACTATTTGCATCTTGTGTTTCTGTTTAGATTGGATTTGTTTCAAGCTGTGCAAGAAGATGTGATTTGAGTAGTTCAAGGTTTGAGTTACCTAAATGCATTTTATCCCTTGGAGTAATGGAGACTAGTCTATGACTCTTTTAAGTATTTAGATTTTAGATCCTTATACATGACCTCTTTGTCTTTATCATTCTGTTTGGTATCATTAACTGGTTTTAAGATATGTAAACAAGAAATTTAGCCATCAGTATAAAGCTACCATTGGTGCTGACTTTGTCACAAAAGAACTCCAAATTGAGGATAGACTTGTAACGCTACAGGCAAGTGATTGCATCAAAAGTTTGTTTGATCCTAGTTTTATGGGTGATCACATATCATTTTATATCTGTTGAGGATGTCTGATTGCTTTGGTTTTGTCTCTGTCTTTCATTGTTTTGCGGGGATAGATATGGGATACTGCTGGGCAAGAAAGGTTCCAAAGCCTTGGCGTTGCATTTTATAGAGGCGCAGATTGCTGTGTCCTTGTTTACGATGTCAATGTATTGAAATCATTTGATAATTTGGACAATTGGCATGAGGAGTTTCTGAACCAGGTATGATACTTCTTTTCTAATTTTCCATCTTGTTTGTGTTATTTTTTCTCTCCTCTTTTGCTTTTGCATTGCTAATGGGGCCATTTTCATGCTACCTTTAAGGAACATATCTTTTAAGGGAGGGAGGGAGAGAGGGAGGGCTGCAAAGAACATAGAACTTGTTTTTTTTAGGATGGGTGAGGAGGTTGAGTGACCTGAGTAAGCACCTTTCAGAACTTGATGATAGCTTATCAGTTATCACTGTGAATGAAAATTCATTTCCAAGTTGTAAGAACTTACCGAGTGAGCTCGACTCATCCACTGTGAGTTATATAGATTTAAAGCTTACTCTGGCGGTTCCCGGACTATCCCTTTTAGATGATTTCTTTTGTTGATTTGACCAACAAATGGTCTCTCCTGAGCTGGTAGCATTGTGGTATGCTTGGTGAGATGGGTTCAATTTCATTAATTGCCATGTCTTTCTGGTAAAAACTTTTTGCAAAACATTTTGGAAAAACTGCCAATTTTTTTGTAGTTCACTATTTCACTTGATGAGTTGACCAGTTTTGGCGGTGACTAAGTCACTACTGAGTCAGCACTGACTTAAAGATTTTAAACACTAATTTCTCAAGTTGATAAATTTTAAGGACTTTGGAAGTTCGTGTCATTTACCGTTGAACACATTAATATACAAAAAAATTTACATGTGATTCACCATTGATATGTGTTTATGGTAAATCGTGATGACTTATGTGTCCATTCCCTTAAACAAGCATAAGAGAGGTGTGAATGCTCAGGGGCTATGGTTCATATGTTTAAGGGAACGGTTGGTTGATGGCCCTGTGCAACCATGAGTGTATGCTACATACTTCCCCTTTATTTGATGCACACCAAACAAACACTGAAGAAGAATATATAATTACTTTCAATCAAAACAATACTGAGGATGGATCAACGAATAGTGTACAAAGTTTGAAATGATCTATTTGCTCAAGAATGGTATGCACTTTCAACAAATAAAAGAATGGTGAATTGAATCTGATGTTAGGGTGGGGGCAGTCCCTGCATCACCAGTCTCAGGCACATGATAGAGGGGTTGAGGGGTGCTAATTGTTTCTATAGAGCCTCTCCCTCAAGAGGTTCTCTTTGGGTCAGGGGTCGGAAAAAATAAACAGAGTATGGCTTCTTATGAAAAGACCAGTACTTCTCAATTTGCCCCATGTGTATAGACAATTATACTTTTTTTTCGCATTCCCTCCTTACAATTATTGGCTGTCTTTTATTGTTTGTCCCATTGTTCTGACCTATTCTTTACTCAATAAAGCATGTTCTAAACACACCAGGAGAGATGGAAAAACCCCATGTTTATTGAGTATCATTTCTGAATTCTTGGATTTGTTGTTTATGTTACTAGTCCCTGAACATCTGTGCAGTGAAAGCTAACATGCTTTCACATCCATACATGCTTCTTTCATTTTTCTTCTGCCTTTCAGTAGTCTCTTATATCCTAACCTTTTAATCCTTTTATATTTTTCCTTTTTTTCTGTTTGGTCATTTCTGTCTTTTGATAAATTAACCACTATTATTGTAGGCAAGCCCACCAGACCCCAAGACATTTCCATTTATTTTACTTGGAAACAAGATTGATATTGATGGGGGAAATAGCCGAGTGGTGAGGAATTTTAAATTTTGAATTGTTTTTATAAAAATATCCATCTGTTTTCTTTGTACGTCTTAACTTGCTTTTTGAGTGATTTATTTGCAGGTACGTGACCGTAGGCAACTTGTATTTTTTGATTTTTCAATTGTATTCTTATTTTTTACCATATTTCCAGGTGTCTGAAAAGAAAGCGAAGGATTGGTGTGCTTCCAATGGAAACATACCCTACTTTGAGACGTCTGCTAAAGAGGATTACAATGTCGATCCTGCCTTTCTCAGTGTAGCCAGAATTGCTCTTGCTAGCGAGCGTGAACAAGACATGTACATTTATTCTCTCACTTTTCATCTTCTTTGTTTCTTTACTATTAATTTTAAATTTTGATCAGACATCAGGCGTGCAAGTTGTCTCAAGAGTAGTCTACTTAAGAACAAATGAACTAAAACACCCTATTGTTTTTCCAAAACTTCCTAAATTTACTAAAGATTTTGGGCTTCTTGCAGTTACCCCTTTATTATTCTGCTTACATTGGTTCTATCCATGTGCAGTCCTTCTATTTTGGTGTTTAGAAAATTGTTGGTGATTCGGCCAAGTTGAAATGGATCAGGAGCAAGGCAATTCCGAGCCAAAAAACTCTGGAATTGCCTAAGATTCCTCTCTCTCTCTCTCTCTCTCTCTCTCTCTCTCTCTC